GGGGTCGCGACCCACAGGTTGAGAACCGCTGGTCTAAAGGAAAAGACACGCATCTTTAATATTTGACCCAGTCATGTGCTGACGACAATCCCATCTATTTTTTTTTTTGGGTTGCCCCCCCCCCCCCCCCCGTTTGTTATGTGCACGGCCGGGATAGCCCCGAATCGTACGTGTATGACTTAAGCGTATACCCACGTGACTTACGCGTATGCCGGATTTAACGTTTCAGCCCTTTGCAGGGTCACCCGCGGGCCGTAGATTGCACACCACACCACCTCCTCATTAGACAACGCCATTTCTTACGCTACCACTGCTCGCCATCCTTAATTTTAAGTCAGTTTTTCCTCTTTAAAAAAAAAACAACAAAACTGAAGGAAAGAAGAAAACATTAATACATACTGTGCACTTACAACACGATATGATTCAATGAATGTTGCAACATACTGTGCACTTATAACACGATATGATTCAATGAATGTTGCATACATGTATCTACAAGCATGGGCGCCCGCAGGTAGGGGCAAGCCCCCCGGATTGATTGGATAAAATTTTTTTAGACAAAATAGACCCAAAAAATATTAAAGTAAAGAGAAAATAAAGAGAAAGTAACTAAGCTGATGTCCTGTCCGTTCGTTCACCATACAAATACGCTACAGTAAATTAAAACTACATTAAAACATTACTACACATTTTTTCCCCCCCCCCCCCCCCCCCCTGGAAAGTTTTCTGCGGGCGCCCATGTCTACATGCACATTTTAAACACACTAACACACGCTCATCGATGTTTGACTGATATGAGATGTATGATTATAATGGTTGCTGTTTTCTTAATCATGATAATCCGACCAATCCTCGTCTATCTATTCAAAGAGAGAACGTTTCTTTGTTGTTGTTTTTTTTAAACTCTGGTCTGTCGGTCAGTGAAGGGTGTGACACGGACTGACACGGCCATCGGGGTCCACAACGGCTGATCTCGTTCAACATCTCAGGTCTCAAGTTAACCACCACAAGGGAAGGCATTCAATTCAACATCTCAGTTCTCAAGACCAAGGTAAGGCAGCACGTCTTATGGACATCCGAGCCAATGTGAATTGAAAGAGGTATGTGTAAATAAATCGAGCTACTACATTATGTGTCAAAGCCTAGACGTGTGTGTGGGGGGGGNGCTCTTTCCGATCTTAAGCGCATATCCACTGATGTAGGAGTGGGGGGAGGGGTGGTCCGCCCCGGGTGGCGCCTTCTCATACATGCGAGGGGCGGCATTTTTTGGTCCAAATCAAAGAAACTCAACTCATTAAACGGATTAATTATTTTTCCTGAAATCAGTGTCATCATGTTCCCTAATACTGATGTCTGCAGTCGTGCTATCACGCATGGACTACTGCTACGCTCTCATGGTGTGTCTTCCAGCTACGCTCCTGGATAAAATTCAACCAGTACAGAATATACGGCTCGCATTGTTTTTCGCAAACGCAAATTTGACCATGCTAAAACACTTCTGAGAGAGTTGTATGGGCTGCCGGTCCGCGCTCGCATAGAGTACAAAATTGCAACTCTGTGCTACCGCTGCTTGCATGACCTGGCGCCATCCTATCTCAAAGCGCCCATGACACCTAGACAACTCCGCTCATCCGATCGTGGCAAACTCTCGATACCACGCAGAGGCGTAGCGAGGGGGGCAGGGGGTACAGATGTCCCCGAGCGTCAGCTAGTTAGGGGCGCCAAAATGTGCTTGATATTATATTATTGGTAAAAATAATGGGTTTGAGAGTTGAAAAAAAGAAAAAGGGGCGCTTTAAAATTGATCTTGTCCCCGGGCGTGAATTTTGTCCCCTGGCGCCAAGCACCCTCGCTACGCCTCTGATAACACGTGTTCGCCTTGAGCCTTACGGAATGCGCACGTTCACATTTGCTGGCCCAACAATTCGGAACACACTTCCAATCGCTCTCAGAAACACCAGACACTGGAGTCTTTCAAAACCGATTTGAAAACATATCTATTTCGCAAACACCTGTTGGGGTGATGTTGTCTAACATCTTTTCCAGCTAGCTATTATCTCCTAGATGTATAGTTGCATGTGTTGTTTATGGTTGAAAGGGATGAAAGACTTAGAATGGGTATAAGTCTCGTATGTAGTTTTTGTAATGTTGCGTTTTGTATTTCAATGTGGTAAAATATGGATTTTTTCATTTCTCTTTTAATATGGTTGACTTTGTACCGCGCTTCGAGCCTTTGGGGATGAAGCGTGTTTTTCAAATAAACTTTATATATATATGATATTTGTTCATGAAAATATGCCTAATACTTAGTTTTATTCAACATGGTTACTGAATAAAAAAATATTGGCTAAATTCTAGAAATGCTTTTTTATTCAGATCCATTTCAAAGAAACATTGGGGGGGGGGGGGGGAAAAACCCCAGTACAAAAAAAAAAAAAGGGGGGGGGGGGGGGGGGGCAAACCCCAGTAGCAACAGAAAACAAACGATCTAAAGTGTGAGCAGAAGTCGAAGGGCGACAATTAACAGAGGCTTGTCTTTTGATTTAACCTCCAGATTTTTGTTTTTTTCTTTTAGGATTGATTTTATTTTTAAAAAGTAAACATAATACACTGAAGTACTTTTAGCAACTTTAATAACAAGTAACAACTAAACGTAAAGTGTGTCCATAGACACGGCCTGGTCAAAGGATGCCTAAATTCATAACTAAATTCCGGTGAGCACCAAAATGTATCCCTTCATTTTAATTTTGAGTGTATCACAAATTTTCTAGAGCGGGGCTCAAAGACCACTACCCCTTACTTACCGTCAGTACCCTCTTTTTTCGTCCCCTCTTTTTTTTAAACTCGACCCCACCCCGATCAAAGTGATTGTCCATCTCCTTTTTAATTTAAAAGTAATATATATATATATATATATATAAATATTATATAAATATAAATATAAATAAATAAATAAATAAATA